GGATATCCTATTCTTACCGAATAGTTAATCAGATTCGAATTCGGATATGACTTGATTTGATTTGATAGATATCCAAATTCGATTGATTATTTAATTCTTATATATAATATATAAAATATTTTATATAATTTATATATAATAATTAAGTTATATAAATAATTTATATATTTATATACTTTATATCAATAAAATATTTATTTTATATATTTATTAATTATCTAAAATAATTAATTAATCAAATCAAATATTCGAATATTTAATCGGATTTGAATTCGGATATTAATTTTCAATATCTGTTGGATATCGAATCAAATTCGAATATTAGATTTTCTAATCGGATTCGAATTCGGATATTGCCTGATCCGATTCGAATTCGATTCGTTTACACCCTACATGAAGGAAAAAATGGGTATTTTTGGGTTTAAAATCTGATGGGAGGTCGTTCGAGGAATTTAAGAAGGTTTGGTAGTCTTGGATGATGTATCATGATGTAGATCTTGAAATAGGAGTGTGATGACTAATAAGTATAGTCGATTTTGAATCTTTTTGCTTGAAGTTTAAAATGGATATTTTGGGGTCTTAAATTTGATGGGAGGACAACCGAGGGATTTAGGGAGGTTTGGTAAGGTTTGAGACTTGGATCAATGTTTTGAAATGCGGAGGCGTGATGCGAGGGGTTCCACTACCTAGAGGCGTGAGGTGTGCATGAGGCGCGTAAGGCGCATGCCTCTAGTACGAGGCGCATGAAGCATATGCCTATAGCACACCTCATGAAAAAAGCGCATGAGGTGTATGCCTCAGAGGTGTCAGCGCCTCTGGCATGTGCTTCAAGGCGTATTGGGAGTGCCTTCTGGCGTATGCCTCCCACACCTTTTGAAACACTGTCTTGGATGATGGGCAGCGATGTAGATCTTGAAATAGGAGAGAGTGGTAGGCAATAAGGATGGCTGATTTGAAATCTTTGTGCATGAAGGGTAAGCCTCCCATTAGATTCTAGATCCAATAGTATCCATTTTACCCTTCATGCACAAAGATTCCAATTCGGCTATCTTTATTGGCCGCTACTCATCGAAACACATTATCCATGACTACCAAACCTTATCAAACCTTCTTAAACCCTTCGATTGACCTCCCATCAGATCCAAAAATACCCATTTTACCCTTCATGCACAAAGATTTCAAATCAAGGGTTCTTATTGGCCGTAACTATCCAAATTTAAGATCTACATCTTGGAATGCCCTCCRAGGTACCCATACCCTACTATCATAGTATCACCTTCCTAGACATCCTGATGGACCATCATTCATTTTTTAGACCCAAAATGCTGTTTTACCCCTCCATCAAGAAAGATCCCGATCCCATAATTTTCATTGCTCAATACACCAAATCACGATTTCTCACCTTGACACTCCTCCGAGACTATCAAACCCCATTATTACCTTTTTTGGATGTCATAGATTAGAACCYTAAGAAAACTTTTGGTGCAAAGGTTCCCATTTTACCCCTCCATCCATGAATATTCCAATCCATGCAATTTCATTGGTCAAAGGAAACCCTAACACATTGTAGTTTAATCCTAACCCTTTGATCCTCCTGCACATCACACCCCTTGTGACTTGCAATTTTGTTGTAAAACCCCTCTTCGAATTTTCCCTTAGGCCCTTGCACCATTTTGATATTAACTAGAGCCCCCCTAACCCTAGAGATAATCCTAGCCTAAGGTTTAAACCCACACACCTCCACCCTAGGATCGGCCCGTTCTCATTCAAACTCTCACAAAAACCTAAATATCAAAACCCTAGCCACCCCTCTCTAATTCCTTTTCAAAAATTCGGTCAAACTCAATTAAAATTAAAATTTGAATTTAAATTTAAACCCCACTCCATTCTGGGCCATTAATAGGGAGGCAAGAGAAGAGAGTATTTCAAGGGGGCCTTGTTTAGGCCTTTAATAAGAAAGAAAGGGTTGAACCTATACAAGAGAAGGTCTAGGTTTGTCCAGAACAAGAAAAATAAAAGAAAAAAGGAAAAAAGAGAGAAAAACTCTTAGAAATCCTACCCATCGAATTGGAATCAAACAATCCCAACCACCCATTCATCTTTCTTGAGAGAAAAGCCCTAATAATGAAACCCAACTAAATCTTGCCTAACTCTACTTATTTGGTCATAACCCAACCAAACCATCCCAATTGAACCAAGCTAGAACCAATCTCATCTCCCATTCGGTTGTAGATCAAAAACCAGAAAAAAACAAAAGAGAAAGAAGAAACCTAGTAACTACAACTGAACCAAGCCAATCCAGAAAAAGACAATACAACACTCTAATCTCTCCTCTCCAACTCATCTTCCTCAACACAGCAAACACCTCCCATGACCGAACTCACACCTCACGAAACCACCACCGAACCAGTCCTATAACCACTACCTCCTCTTCCATCTATCTAGCTCTTCCCTTCTTTTTCGCAACTCCATCTTCTTCCTCCAACAATCGTAAAGAATCGTGTTCTCCCTTCTATCTTCCTTCCTCATCAGCATAATTGAAATCTCTATCTCCCTTATCCTCTGTCTCTCACATTCTAGACTCCACGCAGACCTGAACCACTGCCATCTTCGCTTATCTTCTACATCCTCCATCTTCCACAACCAAAAATAGGCAGGAACTACATTTGGCCAATAGGACAAAGGAGAAGAGAGACAAAGTAGAAAGAAGAGAGAAGAAGTGGATAAGAAGAAAGGTTATCACCTTATCCATTTTCGACTAAGAAAAATAGGCAGGAACCTTCTCCCTTTCACTAACTCTCTTCTCCTTTTCAAGAACAACATTGATCCTTCATTCTTGTCCCCTGAGTTTAAATCTCAGAATCTATTTCATTTGCTTTTTACTTGGTCTATTTGGAGTCTGTAATATGTCTTCTTCCTGTGTGTGGGCTCCMGGAATTTGTAACATTTTCATCTTTCATCAATAAAATTTCTTTGACCTTACCTTCTCAAAAAAAGTATGAGAAGATTTAGCATAGGGGTGACTAAAGTTTTCATGTTTGTAGTTCTTCTTTGTTCATTTTCTTGGGGAATTGGTGCTACATGTTATTTATGAGAGAGGGGTCCCTAACACCTTCCCTCTCTCTTCTTAAAGTACTTAGAAGAGCCATAGTTTGGGTTTATAGGAGTCATGTTTGCTTTTTGGACATCAGAGGGCCATCACTTTGATGTTTGTTGATGGGTGGCGGCCTGATTAGAATTCAGCCATGAATTGAGCCCCAAATCAATTGGGTGCTCACAAATTGTGTTCTCTTGTTTTATTTTCCCCCTCAAATTGTTTGATTATTAAATGAAAACAGGCAAACTGGTGAATACCTGTTCTTCCAATCCCATCTAAGGTGGCTGAGCAGATAGAAAAGGGGATGAGAGCCTTTCTGTGGAATGGTTGGAAGGATTCGTCCAAGTGTCACTTAATGAGCTGGGATCAGGTTTGCAAACCTGTGTCGTTTGGAGGTTTGGGGGTTAGGGAGGTGAGATTGTTTAACAAAGCTCTCTTTGTCAGCTGGCTCTGGAGGTTTGCCATGGAGCCAAACAATTTGTGTAGGAAGGTTATTGCTGAGGAATATGGTTTTAGTAGCAATGGATGGGATACAGAATTACCCCTCTCTTCCTAAGGCTGCAGCTTGTGGAAGGGCTCTCAAAAGACTTAAGCAGTTTTGGTCAGGAGCTTCTTTTCAAAGTTGGGGATGGGAGGAAGGGTAAGATTATGGTTGGACTCTTGGTGTGGTGATTTTTCTTTTAAGGACCGATTTCCCTCTGTTTAACATGGCGAATAACAAAATGGCTTGGGTGGCAGACTGCCATGAGGTGAATGGTAGATCAATATGCTAGAGGTCTTCTTTTAGGAGTTTCAATGATTGGAAGATTTGTCAAATTTCTTATCTGTTAGCTCTACTGAGATTCAACCTCTGGATGTACAGAATCAGGATTCAAGACTTTGGAAATGGACCTGGTTGTGCTTCAAGGAACCCTTTTCCAAGCAAGGCCATTTGGGGTTAAGCTGCACCTTCAATGGTGAAATTCTTCACTTGGGTGGTTGTGGTAGAGAAATGTTTGACTAAGGAAATGCTTTTGAGGAAGGGGTACCCTATCCAAGACAGATTCTGTGTGTTTTGCAGCAGGGAGAATGAGTTAGCAAGCCATTTGTTCTTATATTGTCACTTCAGCTCAGCTGTGTGGAGCCACTTTTCAAGAGCTCTTAACCTGCACTGGTGCTGCCCCTTCACAGTCAAGGACCTTTTGCAATGGTGGGGCAAACCGGGCTTGTCAAGGAAAGGGAGAGTTTGTTGGTCAACAGTCCCTCTGGCACTACTGTGGGCCATCTAGTCCGAAAGAAACTCGAGGATTTTCGAGTAGACAGCATCACCAGAATCTGGTGGTGATTAATAGGACTGTAGGAGATTTGAGGAGCTGGTTATCTTTACATTGTGTGTTTAAAAATGTTGCTTTCTCTTCTTTTTTGGACATAGGTCTTGTTTTTTTTGGGGGGGGGGGGGCTTAAAGTTTATTTTTGGTACATAATCTCATGTACAGCTTCTTATTATCAATGAAATTTTACTTTACATGTTCAAAGAAAAAAATCATTAACTGAAAACTTTCAAATAAAGGCTTTGGCTCTCATCAGACAACTCAAAACCGCCTAGCTGGGAAGGTTGCAAGATTCACTCCAGAATGCAAATTCCTAGGTGGTAGTTTTAAACTTTTACATGCATTGCTCTACATTACATAACCTTAATATACATAGTGACTGAAAAAGAAATTGGACCATGACCAACTTGGGAATATTATTAACAAGGCTTCCTTCCCATTGACTATGGGATCCATGAACAACATAGACAGTAAGAAAAAAGGAGACAGGTCTAAATGATATAGTTCTTAATTTTATAATTAGGCAGTCGGATCTAATTTTTCTCCAGTCAACTTTATTGCTTAATGACTTTTGTATTACCTATTTCCTGTAGGTTAATTATCCAGACATCGTAGACTTCGGAATTATAGTAGCTTCATTTGTCATTATGAAGACGGTGATTTGGTGGTGTCTGCTAATATTTAAGTACAAAGTTTCGGTTGATGACATTAGTTTTCAGAGGACTGGTCCATTGTTGAATGGGGAGAAAACTAATTCCCCTGAAGGTTAATCTGACTTCTATCTTTAATTTTTTTTTCCTGCATTTGTTCAGTTTCGGAATGGGGTAGTAGGCAGTATCTGCTAGTCACGCTATTATGGTATTGTTGACCATGCCTTGGTTTGTACGAGGATTTCCTACTTCCAAGTTATGTAGTCCAAGGCATGAAGATGAAGATGATGCAGCCGGGTCTATCTTCTTTAGTCTCTCATTTTCTCTCTTGGCGCCTAGAGTACGAGGCACCATAGATTATTAAGTATTATTGTAGGCACTGTAATCCTATTTACATAGTCACTATAGTGTGTTGACACTTGACAGTCGAAAGGGTTATTTTAGTTTTCTACTGCGAAAACAACTGCTTTGTATTTGCTAGTTTTGTTTTTACCTTACATATTTGTATTCGACCTTTGGTGGGTGGTAATTCGTAACAAGTGATGTCTCGTGGTTTCTAAGCTTCTCATCATCCGCTTAGTTTAGGGCAGAATTCGTAACTTGTTTTTTATGAATAAGAATAAATGATGTTTTCTGTTCCTTGAGTTGCCGATTTGAAGTTTGTATGGAAATTTCAAATTTATATTAATGGGAAAAGATGAATGAGAATTGAGAATTGGCTAGTTGAGGGGATGCTTCTCGTACGGGAATGTTTTATAATCTCAGCAGTTAGGAAATTAGAAATATACCCCAAGATTCTGTTCAAATTTTCTGAAGGGCGTCGTGAGCGTTCACTTGGTGCATACATTATTGGACTAATAGAGGAAATTTCTCATTATAGGCAACGTGAAAAAATTGTTATTGTTGCACCCTTAACCCTTTACATGGGGATAATAATCACCTTGTGGAATCGAAGGGGAATGCCCAAGTTTTGCACTAGCTTCTTTTGCCGATAACAAATTAGCGCGGTACCGCCCGATGATTAATGCAATATGTAAGGTATGGCCCCAATTCATACTTGTTTGGGGTAGCAGTAGCACATTTGGGTTTTGTCTTGGACATCACTTTGGTGTTCTAGCTAGGGTTTATTTTAGAGTTGGTCTTGGTTTTGCCCCAATTCATCAATTTTATACCTTACTTTATTAAAGAGGTTAAGAAAGAGAGACTTTAGAAGAAATTAAGATTTAATGGTGTACAAACATTGACTATTAGAGAGGGAGAGAGTAATATAATGTGTTTTATTTAGAAAAAGTAAGACCTAAGATTTCTATTTGAGTAATAATGGATTTTATTAGAGACAATTATGATCTCAGAGACTTTTATTTTGATTTCTATTTTTTTTTATAGTTTAATTTAAAAATAACTTACCACGTGTGAGGATTGGGAGGAAGAGGAGGTCCGTGRGAACTTTGTGGTTAGAGGACCCTTGACGTCTCCTCTTTCATTTTTCTAACAGGTGTAAACTCGTGGGAGTAATTGTTAGAATAGCAGGGAGCACCACCAATTTCTCTAATGTTTGGTGTTTTGGTTCATAATACGATGTGCAATAGTTAATTGTAGTTTCAAATGAGTGCCACTAGGTGCCGCATAAAACAATTAAACAATCAAAGTGAAACTGTCTGTTTCTCTATGTAGAAACATTAAAAAAATACTCTCCCAAGTCCTAAACAGTAAAGCATATTTTATACTGTACAAAGCCACCTGAATTTAAGCCTTGCTACGTTAAATTGGATGTCAATTGCCATATGGGCAAATATCAGACACCAGGGATTGTTACTTATTCATGATAGCTAAAACAAAGAAGAATCAAAAGAGTGGTTCTCCACTGCTGAGTTCGACCACTCCTCCCTTCCATCGAGTGATTAATTAGTGTTCCCTTTCTAAGTTGACCTTTCTACCTGTGGCCCATTCTATTCTCTTAAAATTACAAAAAAAAAACTCTTTTTTCTTTTTAATTTTCTAATTGCTGGGCGATTGAGATGGACAAATAGACAAATGGTTTTGAATCTACGTTTTCAATTAAGAAACCTTGTAGCTTCTGAAATTTATTTCATGAACTCTTATTAGTTATTACAACTGTGTGTCTATATATATAGAGAGAGAGAGAGAAAGATGATCAAGGACGAAAAGTGCAGGCTGCCGAAATAATATCAGCTAGACCAACTGCATTCTTGGTGTTCTGAGTCAATGGAGAAGAAATCGGTGGGGGAGTTCTGAATGAGAGTTCACAAGACATGGTCACGCTTATCACAAGACTTGCCCTGTCTCTCACGCTATCATAATCACGGGCGCCCAAGAAATCAATAGCTTCGCGAAGTTGCTCAATTGCATTTGAGTAGTCGGCGGCACATTTCGTGAGGGATGATCTAAGTCTCTCTTTGCTGCTTCTCTTCAGCATCAAATTTATCTGTTTCTCAGTGTCTGTCACATTAACCATCGCCAGATTGATACATACGCCCCTGAGTTGATCTAGATCAGCATATCCGGTTCTTGGGTCAGAAGTCAGCACCTCCAGACAGAAACTGGGGTTCTTGGCCAGCCCACAAATCTTCTCAACCATCAACTTAGTCACCTTCACGCTCACCCTTGCAGAGGAAGTATGGCAGAAAAGAAACAAGAATAGGAGAGGAACGACGAGCAAAAGACGAGAAGCCATATTTCTCTTACTAGTACTACACACTGTTAACTGTTAGTCTCTTTTCGATCTTGTTTTCTGGACAGAATTCACAGGCTTTGGGGCTAGCTCTTTTATACTTGTAGATGGGTGATCGACGTGATTAGGAAATTGGTTTGATGATTTAAG